TATCCTTTTTAAAGCTTTCTATTTTCACCTTCAAAATATGCCCCAAGTTTTGAATTCCCCCACCCTAGGGAAAAGATCCTTACCATAAAGCCAGGGTATCATCACTGGTTCAATGAAAAGTACAGAATTGCATGCCAACAGCAGCCCTAGACATACTTAAAAATGAGATGTCAATCTGATGAAGTTGCACAACAGGCCTATCTGCATGCCAAACAGAATAGCAGCAAGTGATAGGCAGCACTAAATGATTACACAACAAATGGATCAGATCTAAGCTGTACAGTCCTGCCGCATTGTTGGAGCTATACCTGACACAAAGGAAGATGGTTGTGGTTGTTGGTCAGCCATCTCAGTTCCAGGGTTATCTCTGCAGGAGTTCTTTAGGTAGTGTTCAAACCCTAACCACCTTTGGCTGCTTCGGAGAAACACAAAATAAAGGAGCATGAGTTGGCCATTTGGCCTTTCGACCCTACTCCGCCATTCAATATAATCATGGCTGATCATCCAACTCAGTACCCTGTTCCTGCTGTCTCCCCATATACTTTGATCCTTTCTGTCCTAAGAAGTATATTTACATCTTTCTTCAAAGTCTTCGATGTTTTGGCCTGAAGAGTTTCCTGTGGCAACAATTCCACAGGCTCACTGCTCCCTTGGTGAAGAAATCCCTCCTCATCTCTGTCCTAAAATCCCTTCATCCTTAGGCTGTGACCCCTGGTTCTGAACTCCCTGGTCATCAAGAACATTTTTTTCTGCATGTACCCTGTCTAACCCTGTTAGAATTTTGTACATTTCTATGAGATTCTGCTCCTCATTCTTTTAAACCCTCGTGAATATAGTTTTAGCCAATCTGGTCTCTCCCATGTGTCAGTCCTGCCTACCCAGGAATTAGTCTGGTAAACCTTGTTTGCACTCCCTCACAGCCAGAACATTCATCCTCTGATAAGGACACCAAATCGCATGCACTTGGTTCATGTTTAGTCTTACCAGTGCCTTAATAGTTGTAGCAAGACATCTCTGCTCCTGTACTTGAAACTTCTCGCTATGAAAACCAACATACCATTTGCATGCCTTTGCCACCTGCTGCACCTGTGTACTTACTTGCAGTGATTGGCTTATGAGGATGGCCAGGTCTCATTATTTTTCCCAATGTATTGTCATTCAGACAATCTGCCTGCCTGTTTTTGCAACCGAAGTTGATTGCCTCACCGTTATCTACATTATACTGCATTTGCCATGTATTTGCCCTTGACCTTCCCTCCATCATAAGGTCAAAAGTGGGCACATGCAATCATTGGTGAACAACGTTCAACATCATTTGCGACTCTGCAGTACTAAAGCAGTTCATGTCTCAGTGCTGTAAGATCTGGCTATATCCAGACTTGGACTGAAAAATAGCAAGTAACATTTGCATCACACAAATGCTAAGCAATGATAATTTCCTGCAAGAGACAATCTAAACATCGTCCCTTGGCATCCAATGGGCATTACCATCACTGAATCCCCCATTATCAACATCCTGGGTGTTGCCATTGGCCAGAAACTGAACGGGACTACCCATATAAATGCTATGAATGCAATGACTTCAAAAGCAGATCAGAGGCAAGGAATCCTGCACCAAGTAACTTGCCTCCTGACTCCCCAAAGACTGTACAACATCTACCAGGCACAAGTCAGATGCCTGGATGAGTGCAGCCTCAACAACACTCAAGAAGCTTGAAACCGTCAGGACAAAGCAGCCCACTTGATTGCACCACATTGACAGACATTCACTCCTCCACCTCTAATGGTCAGTTGCAGCAGTTGTGTAGCATCTACAAGATATACTGCAGAAATTCACCAAGGCTCCTTCAACGCGGCCGCTTTCGTTGAGAGCATCAAGAGAACACATACGGGAGGACACCACTATTCCAAGCTACTCACCATCCTGATTTAGTGTCATTGAGCCAGGATCAAAATCCTGGAATTCTGTTCCAGGGGTATTGTCCGTCCCCACAACACATGAACCGTAGCAATGCAAGAAGGCAGCTCACCACTACCTCCTCGACAGCAGCTAAGGGTGCGCAATAAATGCTGGCCCAGCCAACAAAGTCTACATTTCATGATTGAATCAGAAAAACTTCCAAATATGAATGCACACAATCACAATTAAGACAGACAAACAACAAATAGTTTAACACACAAGTCAAGCATATGTACAGCATAAACAAATTATGAAGATCAAAAGTCCAGAATGCAAGATGGAGAGTTATTTGACTCAGTCCGTTTTGATTTTTGCAATGGTGAAACAATTCTTCGTAAAGTGTATCATGTAATGCTCATTGTCCCCCAAAGGACTTTGCACAAAGAGATGATTCATTAATCCCTACTCATTGCACAGTACCAAATCTAGGATAGCTTGTTATCTTGTTGGTTTCTCAAAGCACTGGTCTGAAGATACATCTTGTACACACTCCAGAATTCCTCCACCACCGTATTGTTGCACATGTAGTACAGAGATGATTACTGTGATTACATCGCCTACCTTACCACAACAGTTTGGAGGCCTACAAACAATATCCATTAATGTTGTCCTTCCCCTGTTGGTCCTTGGCTCCACCTAGACAAGGTCTAGATTTTCTGAGCTAATATTCTGCATCACTACTGCACTGTTGTCTTTTACTGTCCATCTCTCTTTCCTTTTTGCCTGCCCTTCCTAAGTATTGAGTAATAGTTTAGTTCCCAGCCCTCCAGCTATGTCTTCATAACAACAATTATATTTTACCCTTTTACAGCTATTTGCATTCTTAATTTTTCCATCTGACTATGAATACATTCAGTTACAGTCCCTTTAGATTTGTCTTTTTAACATTTTTACACTTTTCTTTCCTATGGGCCTATTTCTATGGCCCTTGTTTCCTATGACTTCCATTTTTGCTTTCCACTTTTCTGTCTTCTGTTTTTAACTTTGTTTCTCTTTTTCTGTGTCTCCCCGGTTAAATCTTCCACTTCCCCCTCAAAGATATCGGTCCCAGTCTTGCTGGATGTGCAGTCCCTCCAGTCTGTACTGGTTCCAGCTTCCCCAGAATCTGTTCCAATGCATCAGCAATCTAAATTCCTTCCTCCTACACCATCATATATTCCTCTGCTCTATTCTCCTGTTCCAGATCTTGCCAAAAAATGGCACCAGGAATAATCATGAAACTGCTAACTTTTGAGATTCTGCTTTTTAATTTTATATCCTAACTCCCTGTGTTCAGCTTTCAAGACCTTACTTGTCTATTTTTTAAGTGTACAACATTTGTGTTGACATGAAACCTGACCTCTGACGGTTCACCCTCCCCCTTCAGAGTGTCCTGCAGCTGAGCAGTGACATCCTTGAGCCTGGCAGCAGGGAGGTAACATACCATCCTATTCAACGTTGTAATTGAACCAAAATTTTCAATTGTAGGTTAACAGAGCTTCATTGACAACTTAGCTGAGTGTTTCTTCACTCTGCAGGCTAAATAACATCCTTACAACTCAGTTCTGGTTTTGATACTCTTTTTGTTAGAAAGATCAGTTCAAAGTGTAATAAGTTACTGAACAGGATTTATTAAAACAGTTACAAAACAGAGCCACAGGAGGCACTTCTCTCCACTCACCAAGGTGATAGACACTAACACATTCCTGCTGCCTGCAAAACCCACCCAGCTGAAGCTGATGCCCTAGGGACCGGGGCCTAGTCCTACTCCTCCAAGAGAAGAAAGAGAGAGGACTGAACTGACAACAGCTCCTGAAAGGCAGCTGGTTCCTGCTCAGGCCAAAGCCAATAGATGGCCGGAGATAGTAGGAACTGCAGATGCTGGAGAATCCGAGACAACAAGGTGCAGAGCTGGATGAACACAGCAGGCCAAGCAGCATCATAGGAGCAGAAAGGCTGACGTTTTGGGCCTAGACCCGATTGTTGTCTCCAATAGATGGCTGTGCTGTTTGAAGCATGGTGAGTCTATAGATTTATACCATTTTAAGTGAATACAGGTAGTTATATTAATGTGAATTAGCTATAATGCAATTTATTAATAATAGACACTGTTTGGATAAAATGAACTTTCTGCTGTACAGGTATAGCGATTTCCCAATAATGCGATTTTATATAGCACGAGGTCACACAAAAACACAACTATTGTGTTATAGGAGAACTACTTGTATGTAAAAATTAGATGTGGCTGAAGGTATTAAAAATTACTTTTTATTTAAAAATAAACCTGCTCCCTTGGTTGGGTCTCCAGTTCCATGTCAGCTGCAATGCACCAAGTTGGTGGATGCAGAAAGATTACCATACCTAGCTTGTTGAAGCTGGAGCTCCCATCTACCTGACCACTACTGAGATCATAAAGCTAGCTGGCAACGCAGACCATGATACAAAGAAGACACGTATCGACTCCCACCACCTGCAGTGCTCTATCCACATTGAGGAGCTGTAGCAAACCACCAACCCTCTTCTACAGCACCTTCCAAACCTGAACCTTCCACTAACTGAAAAACAGAGATGGCAGACACATGGGAATGCCAGCACCTGCAATTTTCTAACCAAATCACATACCATCCTGATTTGGAACTATATTACTGATCGTTCACTTTCACAGTATCAAATTCCTGGAACTCCCTTCCTGTGAATGTATCTGACCCATGGACTTAAAATGGTTCAAAACGTTGACTGATCACCACCTTTTCAGGAACAATTGGGAAAAGGTAAATGCCCGCATCCTGTGAAAGAATTTAATAAAAGGGAGCATAAGAATCATGTTAAAGGATAAGAGAATTTTAATCAGCAGATATACTGAGTTGCATGATTTTTTTCAAGCTGTATGTTCTAGAGGCAATTTTAATTGTTCAGAAAAGGAAGACAACAAAATTAAGAGAATATGAAATGCTTTACCTACTAAACAATGTGTATTTTTGCACACAGTTCTGAAATGTCAACGATGCTTGAGAAACTTTCCATCAATGGAAATAACATGCAAGTATTGGATTGGTTCAGACTTGACAAAGCAATAGCTTGTGAAGGTAAAAGTATTTGACGTGAATGGGGAAAACAAACATTCTTGAGGCAACTGTCACACCAGAAGACATGTTAAAATTCTAGTTGATGTTGAAGGAGGTAGTGAAGCTGAGTGCTTTTAAAAGAAAAAGATGATTTGTGCATTCATCAGCTACAGTTCAACTTAATGTGAACGTCAAGAAATTGTTTTTCATAAACTAAAAGCAAAGATTTTGTCTTACTTCATGACATTACGATAATAATGTGATGATTGCTATCATACACCAATGCAACAAGAGTTCTTATATGCATGTGATCTGAAGAATGTGGATTGGAATAATTACTAAGATCACAAATAGAATTAGGAAATAAATGGATAAGTCAGAAAATAGAGGAGTGGTGAAAAGACCACTGTGTGCCAGGGTACTTATCCAGCAGGAGTTGTTTTGCTCAGTTAGCTGGATGGCTTGTTTACAATGCAGAGCAATGCCGCGTGGGTTTGATTCCTGCATTGGCTGAGGTTACTTTGAAGGACTCTCCCTTGTCAATCTCTCCTCTTGCCTGAGATGTAGTGACCTATGGGTTACCCACCATTCTGTTCTCATTGCACTAAACCACATTGATTTGAAAGCATATGTTTGAATTCCAGTCAGTACTGAATTAGGGATTATATATTTGTAGCTTGAGCTAAAAGGAAGGATATTGAACAGATCCTTTCCATAATTGTGTTGATTTGAGTAGATTTTGGGTGCAGAGAAAACTTTGTGCACACAGTGATCAAAAAGACTGCTGTCAGTTGGTTTCCAAGCTGTAAATGAAAGATGGTTTATTTGGAGAGACACCAGAATGTTTGCTTTGTTTGAAATTTAAAATGAACCTGAGCACAGTCTTCAGGAGACAGTAACACGCACGCATGTAGTAATTCTTAAAGGGAACGGTGCCAACAGTGGGAGCTGTAAATTATGCTTATTGGTAGTAATACTCTAATTGGTAGAGTATGGTGCAGAATATACTTGCGATTGAAGGTGGTTGTTGCTATGTTCTGTTCTTTGAAGGCCAGTGGATCTTTGTTACTTTACCCGAATTACACCATTGTTTTGGGAATATTTTCACTCCATTAATTTGTTAAATAATCGTTGTTTGCAAGTTTACTGGTTTGAACCATTTCCAAGACTTGAATAGGAAGAATTGATAAAATGAATGTGAATCGGGATCTTGGGAAATTTTAAAATGAACAGATTTTGGAGTCAAGTCAAAATTAATTCAAGAATTATTTAGAAGTTCTTCAGTTACGTTATATAATGGTATACATAGCGCACACAAAACAAGGAATCAGGACAGATCAGCAGGCAACAGTCATACCCTCTGCAATTGCTAGTAAACTACTAACCCCAATTATAAGTTCTGATCCCACCACTCCTTGGCAATGACTGTGTCAGAAAAGGCAGTGAGTTTACACTGGCATAGAGACAGAAGATATATATCAGCTGTTGTAAATATACTACATAATCAATTGTTACCATGGGGAAAGTGTATTTGATAGCAGTCTTGGTAATGACCACTTAATTTAGTGTTCCTGTCACTTTCAAGGCAGACATTGTAATTATCTACAATATCAGCTGATGTGCTGCCTACCATGTATCAAGTGAGGAACTTGTGGATTAGCACAAAGGCAGTATTTTCATTTGTTCCATTAAAAAGAATGATATAAAATATGCATGTGAATTGAGTGCTGAAGGAGCTGTAAAGAATTCTGAGGACCATTTATAAATATGGGATGGATTGGCATCAAATTGAAGTGCACACACTTGATTAATCGTTTGTCCAATCTAAGGTTTTAAGTGATAATCTTGCCATGCCAGTTTCCTTAAAACATGCTGACACTCTGCAGCTACTCCATAGCATGCACAATGTTGACAATGACCACCCGATCCTGCTAGGTTTAGAATACCAGACATGGTGCTGCCCCCATCCCCACTTGCTCTTGAGGTGAGCTGCCATCTTGAACTACTTCGGTCCACATACTGTAGGTATATCCACAATGCCATGAGGGAGGGAGTTCCAGGATTTTGACCCAACGACACTGAAGAATTGGCAATATACATCCCAAGTCAGAATGGTGTGTGCCTTGGAGGGTATCTTGCAGGTGGTGATGTTCCCATGTTGGTTTCCCGTTTTCCCAGATGGTGCTGCACTTGTCTTTCTTGTAATGTGGCGATCAGAATTGAAAGCAATCCTCTAAGTGAGGCCTAACCAAAGTCTTATAAAGCTGCAACGTGAATTCCTGACTCTTGTGCTCAATGCCCCGATGTTGAGGGATGATGGTTAGTTCTCTCATTGGAGATGATCATTGCTTGGAATTTATGTGGTGTGACTATTACTTGTCACTTTTCAGCTAAAGCTTGAATGTTGTCCAAGTCTGTTTCTGTATCTTAGGAGTTGTAAATGGTGATGAATATTGTGCAATAATAATTGAACATTCTCACTTCTTACCGTATGATGGAGGGATGGTTGTTGATGAAACAGCTAAAGATGGTTGTGCCAAGGATACTGCTCTGAGGAATTCCTGTAGAGATGTCCTGGAGCTCAGGTGACTGACCCCCAACAACCACCACCATCTTCCTTTGTGCCAGGTCTGGCTCCAGATAGCAGAGTGTTTGTTTTCCCCTGATTCCCATTAACTATAATTTTGCTACGGCTCCATGATGCATACGTTTGGTCAAATGCTGCTTTGATGTCAAGGGCAGTCACTCTCACCTCACCTCTTCAATTCAACCCTTTTGGCCAAGTTTAAACCAAAGCTGAAGGTTAGAAGCTGAATGGTCCTGAGGTACCCAAACTGGGCATCAGTGAGCAGATTATTGCTAAGCGGTGCTGCCTGATAAGACAATTGATAACATCTTTTTTCACTTTACTGATGATGGACAGATGGGGCGTCAATTGGCTGACTTGGATTTAACCTGCTGTGTTGCATACAGGGCATAACTGGGCAAATTTTCCAGCCTTCCTGCTCCTATGATGCTGCTTGGCCTGCTGTGTTCATCCAGCGCTGCACCTTGTTGTCTCAGATTCTCCAGCATCTGCAGTTCCTACTATCTCTGATACAATTTTCCATATTGTTGGGTAGATGCTGGTGTCACAGCCATATTCAAGCTTGGCTCAGGGTGCACAGTTTCTGGAGCATGCATCTTCAGGTGTGTTGCCATAATGTTGTCAGGGGCCGTAACCTTTTCAGTATCCAGTGCCTATAATTGTTCTTTGATGTCACGTGGAGCGAATCAAATTGGCTGAACACTAGCACTTGTGATGTTGGGATCTCATAAAGTGACCGATTATTGACTCAATACGTCTGGCTGAAGCTTGTTGCAAATTCTTCAGCCACACCTTTTGCAATGATGTGCTGTACCCCCCCCCCCAAACTGAGTGTGAATGGCGGCAGTGGTATTAGGGTAAATACCTAGGGGGCGGGGCCTGGACTGGAGTCAGTCTGAGCAGTGACATCAACAACAATGAAGGAGATCAAGCCTAGGGTTGAACAGCAGCGGGTTGGGCTGCCGGATGTGACATCACGATTCAAAAATTGACGTAGGCTTAGTTGCTGAGGAACCAGATTTGCAAATTGAGTGAGTAGTATCTGGGCAGAGATAAAGTACTTTCTGTTGTTTTAGTCTGCTCTGAATAGAGCATGAGAGTGAGAGACCTGGTGACAAGCGGGTAAAGTTGTGAATTCAGTTCTTGGTTTTTGTCTGTATTTGATAAGGTTGATTTAGATGATAAAGTTCAAAATGGCAGGACAACTGGCCCTGTGGAGTGCTTCTCCTGCAATTTGAGAGAAATCTGAAACACTGCCAGTGTCCATGTTTACTATGTATGCAGAAAGTGTGTTCAGCTGAAACTCCTGATTTACTTCATGGAGCACCTGGAGCTGCGGGTGGACTCGTTGTGGAGCATCCACAAGACTGAGAATGTAATAGACAGCATGTTTAACAAGTTGGTCATGCCATCAGTAAGAGTTTGGTGACAACGCGGAAGACAAGTAAGGGTGGGCAGGCAGTGCAGAGTTCCCTGTTACCATTCCCTTCTCAAATAGATTTACTGTTTTGGATAATGTGGGGATGATGGCTTCTCAAGGGAAATTAGCAGCAGCAGCCAGATCAGTGGCACCACGACTGGCACTCTTGTACAGTAGGGCAAGTTGAAGTGTAGGCAGCCAGTAGTGAAAAGGGACTGTATAGTCAGGGGCACAGATAGGCATTTTGTGGCTGCAAGTGAGACTGCAGGTTGGTGTGTTGCCTCCCTGGTGTCAGGGTCAAGATGTCTCTGAGTGGGCACAGAATATTCTGAAAAGGGAAGGTGTGCAGGTTTGCCAGAGGTTTTGGTCCATATTGGTACTAATGACCTAGACAGAAAGAAAGATGAGGTCCTGCAAAGTGAATTTAGGGAGATAGGTAGGAAGTTGAAAAGCAGGACATCTAGGGTTGTAATCTCAGGATTGTTTCCTGTGCTACGTGCTAGTGAAGCTAGGAATAGGAAGTTAATACAATTATATACATGCCTAAAGAGCTGGTGTCAGAGGGAGGGCTTCAGGTACATATACCATTGTCTTCTGGGTTAGGTGGGACCTGTACAAGAGGAAGGTTGCAGCTAAACTGGAGGAACAACAATATGCTGGCATGAAGGTTTACTCGTGCCTCTTGGGAGGGTTTAACCAGAGGAATGGGAAGCAGAGCAGTAGATCAGCAAGTAAAATGACCAAGAGGAATCAGAGACTGAGACCAAAAGGACAAAGAGAAAGAGCAGACAAGGAGACATTACTGAACATGGCCAAACTGGCGGTGTATTACTTTTAATTCAAGGAGTATGATAGTTAAGGTGGATGAACTTAAAAGCTTGGAATAATACATGTAACTATGATTTTGGAGCTATTACAGTGATTTAGTTGAGATAGGAATAGTCTGGTAGCTTAACCTTCCAGGATTTAGATATTTGAGGCAAGGTAGAGAGGGATTTAGAGAGGTAGGATAAC